CCTCAGTAGTGGACTCGTCTACAGGGGATTTAGTGGTACCCTCATCTACAGGGGCCTCAGTAGCAGACTCGTCTACAGGAGCTTCAGTAGTAGACTCATCCACTGGGGCTTCAGTAGTAGAACCGTCTACAGGGGCCTCGGTAGTAGACTCACCAACAGGGGCTTCAGTAGTGGACTCGGCTACAGGAGCCTCAGTAGTAGACCCTTCCATAGTGGACTCAGTAGTAGAGTCATCTACAGCGGCCTCAGTAGTAAACTCTTCAGTAGTGGCCTCAGTAGTAGACTCGTCAACAGGGGCCTCAGTAGTGGACTCGTCAACAGGGGCCTCGGTAGTAGACTCGTCTACAGGGGCCTCAGTAGTGGACTCGTCTACAGGTGCCTCAGTAGTAGACTCGTCAACAGGGGCCTCGGTAGTAGACTCACCAACAGGGACCTCGGTAGTAGAGTCGTCTACAGGGGCCTCAGTAGTAGACTCGTCTACAGGGGCCTCAGTAGTGGACTCGTCTACAGGAGCCTCAGTAGTGGACTCACCAACAGAGGCTTCAGTAGTGGACTCGTCTACAGGGGCTTCAGTAGTAGACGCATCTACAGGGGCTTCAGTAGTGGACTTGTCTACAGGAGCCTCAGTAGTAGACTCATCTACAGGGGCTTCACTAGTGGACTCGTCTATAGGGGCTCCAGTAGTAAACTCATCTGCAGGGGCTTCAGTAGTACCCTCATCCATAGGTGCTTCAGTAGTAGACTCGTCTACAGGAGATTCAGTCGTAGACCCGTCTACAGGGGCCTCAGTAGTGGACTCATCTATAGGTGCTTCACTAGTAGACTCTCCAACAGGGAATCCAGTAGTAGACACATCTACAGGGGCTTCGGTAGTAGCCTCACCTACAGGGGCTTCAGTAGTGGACCCGCCTACAGGGGCTTCAGTGGTACCCTCACCTACAGGAGATTCAGTAGTGAACTCGTCTACAGGGGCCTCAGTAGTAGACCCGTCTACAGGGGCCTCGGTAGTAGACTCACCAACAGGGGCCTCAGAAGTAGAGTCATCTACAGCGGCCTCAGTAGTAGACTCGTCAACAGGGGCCTCAGTAGTGGACTCACCAACAGGG